GGGGGGGGGGGAATTATCAAGAAACTTTACCTGGGCACGAGGCTGAAAGATTCAACTGTTGAGAGTGAAGATCCATCAGTCAAAGCTCCACTATCCAGAGGTCACTGCATTTGGCCTCCGAACAACGAATGTTAATGATGAAACTGGAGATATCAACCGTTTGGGGTTTTGAATTCTATCAGTGAAAAAGGAAAATACACAAGACAGATTCAGTGTTGTGAGGTTAGAGTTTGTGACCTTGCACCGATTTAGGCAAGGTTTCTTGACTGATGGGCATGGAGGGTTTGAGAGAACAGGGAGGAAAATAGGAAATATATGTGGATGGTCAAAAGGGAAAGGAGTAGGGTTTTGGGGTGTCTCAGAGTTAAGATTGGGAGATGGAATGGGAGCCATTGGATCTGTTGATCAACGACTCCGATTCTTTTGATAATTATAAATTTTAGACATAATTTAAATGGAAAAATTGATAACCGTTGGATTCTTGTGATCCAAAGGCGGAGATAAAACACAACATCCCTTTTAAAAATAACCAAAAACGGAATTAAATCTGATCCATTGATGATATGGATAAACGACTGAGATGATATGTGTTTGTTTTGTGAGGGAATGAGACGGGCAACGTGGAAAGCTCTGATTGGCTTAAAGGGAATGGCAAGGATTGCCAAAGTGTATTGGAGGGGTTGTTTGGACTGGGTCATTTCAGATTAAGCTTGGTCATTTCGGCCAAAATTGATTTAAATGGTAGCCACTCTATGTTTAATTAAGAATTACAATTATAGTCTTTAGCCTTTTAACCCTTTTTGAAATTAAATTAAACAAACTTAAATATTTTCAATAAAATATAGTAAAAATTATAATTATCAAATATACTATTAATTATTGCAATTAATTATTTGTAAAATACTCTGTTTTCTAAATTATAGCACTAATTTTGAATTATTTACATAATAGTCTCATTAATTAGAAATTAAGGAGTAATTCATTAAATTAATTATAAAGCCTATGTGATGTATATAAAAGTTATTTTAATAATCTTAAAATAGTAAGTACGATATATT